TCTGACTCTCTCTTCTGCCTCCCTCTTGCATTTTTAAGTTCCCTTAAACTGCATTGGGCCCAGCTGGATAATCCAGAAGAATCTCAAAGTCAGTGGGTTCACAACCTCAACGCCATCTACTGCCCTGATTCCTCTTTGCCATGTAAGGTGACATATACGAGCACATATATGAATATATCTTAGAAATAGATGCTAGATGTCACAAAGAAAAATTAGTACTGGGACAAAGGATCTTTCAACAATGCAGTTTTTACTCCTGGACTGCAAGAAAGGTACCCTCACTAGCTGTCATGCCACAGGAGTACAATGAACAAAGGAAAACAGACAAATTTATTCCTTACGCATTTGGGGTCGTCCTTAATGCTGTGTCTGATCTCCATTGGCTGGAGCCAGACCTCACAATCTAAACTAAAATGTGATTGGCTTACAACTTAACACTTTTTAAAACAAGTAAAGGCAATGGGACACAAGAAGGAAGCCAGACAGGAGAATCCTGTGCAGAAAAGCACCATCAGTCTTAACGCTGCCATTCTGGCCCTGGGAACTAACAACTTGGACGTCCAATCAAGAGACCTAATCTGAAAGTTGGTAATTTCAAAGATGACAGGAGGATAAATTTACAATGATGGGAAGAAACCAGCGTAAAAAGGCTGAGAATACTCAAAATCAGAACGCCTCTCCCTCTAAAGATGATCACAGTTCCACATCAACAATGGAACAAGGCTTGATGGAGAACCAGCACATCCCAATAACAGAATCATGCTTCAGGGAATGGATAATAAGAAACTTCTGTGAGTTAAAAGAACATGTTGTAGCCCAACGTAAAGAAACTAAGAACTTTGAAAAAAGGTTTGATGAAATCCTATTGAGAATAGATAACTTAGAGAGGAATATAAGTGAATTAATGGAACTGAAGAATACAATACAGGAACTCCGAGAAGTATGCACAGGTTTAAACACTCGAATTTTTCAAGCAGAAGAAAGGATAACAGAGGTCAAAGTCCAACTTAATTAAAGAAAACAAGAAGACAAGATTAGAGATAAAAGGATAAAAAGGAATGAGCAAAGTCTCCAAGAAATGTGGGACTATGTGAAAAGACCAAATTTACGTTTGATAGGTGTATCTGAATGCAACAGGAGAGAATGAATCCAAGCTGGAAAATACCCTTCAGGATATTATTCAGGAAAATTTTCCTGAACTAGCAAAGCAGGTCAATACTCAACCCCAGGTAATACAGAGAACACCACAAAGATATTCCTCAAGAAGAGCAACCCCAAGGCACATAATCGTTAGATTCACCAGGGTTGAAACGAAGGAGAAAATACTAAGGCAGCCAGAGAGAAAGGTCAGGTTACCCACAAAGGCAAGCCTATCAGACTTACAGCACATCTCTCAGCAGAAACTCTACAAGCCAGAAGAGAGTGGGGGCCAATATTCAACATCCTCAAAGGACAGAACCTTCAGCCCAGAATTTCATATCCAGCCAAACTAAGCTTCACAACTGAAGGAAAAATAAAATATTTTATGAACAAGCAAGAACTCAGAGATTTTATTACCACCAGGCCTGCTTTACAAGAGCTTCTGAAAGAGGCATTACACACAGAAAGAAACAACCAGTATTAGCCCTACTAAAAATATACCGAAAAGTAAAGAGCACCAACATAAAGAAGAATTTTCATCAATGAATGGATCAAACAGCCAGTTAACATCAAATGGCAGTAACCCTAAATTTAAATCGACTAAATCCCCCAATCAAAAGACACAGCCAAAACCCAACAGCATGTTACATCCAGACCTGTTTCACATGCAAGGATACACAAAGACTCAAAACCAAGGAATGGAGAAAGATTTACCAACCAAATGGAGAGCAAAAATAAATAAATAAATAAATAAAAAGCAGGAGTTGCAATTCTCGTAATGGAAAAAAAAGATTTTAAAGCAACAAAGATATAGTGGTAAAAGGATCAATACAACAAGAGCTAACGATCCTAACACCCAGATACATAGAGACTTAGATTCAATGAGACAGAAAATTAATAAAGATATCAAGGACTCGAACTCAGATCCGGAACAAGTAAACTTAATAAATATTTATAGAGCTCTCCACTTCAAATACATAAAATATACATTCTTGTCAATAACACATCACACCTACTCATAGGTTTAAATGAAACATTGATTGGCCATTATTAATACCCTTTTTTTTTTCAGAATAAAGCAATATTTCCGTTCACCCTCCCTCTCTCTCTTCCTCTTTCTTTCTCTCCTTTACTCATTTTTTTTTTCTTTCCTTCTCTCAAAAAAAGAAATCAACTTGTAAACCTCTAGATCCAGGTCGGCAATGTCTCTCTCATTGCTTGAATTCCTTCCTTCCCTTCCCTCCCTCCCTCCCCCCCTTCCTCCCTTCCTTCCTTCATTCCTTCCTTCATCCCTTCCTTCCTCCTTCCCTCCCTTCCTGCCTTCCTCCCTTCCTCCTTCCCTCCCCCCCCCAAAAAAAAAAACCAAGTAAAGGCAATGGAGAGCTGGGACATGCCTGTGAGTATATCCAGCACAGATATCTTGATTAAAGTCCAAGGACATAGACTGTACTACATGCCTATGAGCATGGCATGTCTAACAGCTGCATAGGATAGGGCTTAACAAAGTTATTAGCATACTTTATTCACTAACGAGAAAGGAAACTTAAAAAAATTTTTTCTACTTACCACAATATATCACCCTAGGGCCTGGGGATTAGGAAGTGGTCATCTTTAGGGGGTGCTATTCTGCTGACCACAGACCCTGTCTCATGTTCTCCTTCTATCCCACATGACAGTAGGCACACAGTGAGAATGATATGATTCTTGCTAACTGGCAGAGCAGGAGCATCACCATCTTGGACAAGCGTCGCCATATTAAGTTCTCTTTGATTAGAAACCGCCTAAATCCAACCCCAAAACGTCAGTCTAATGGCTAATGTCAGCATGACCATAAACCACAATGACATCTCCAACCAGAAATATTCCAACCCTAAGATAAACACCCCCATCCAGCCAGAGACATTCCAACCCCACAGTAAAACTCTGCTCCACACAGAAACATTCCTAGCCTGTGACAAGCTCCCCCTCCCAGAACCTTTAAATACCTTGTTCTGTACCACACAGAAACATTCCTAGCCTGTGACAAGCTCCCCCTCCCAGAACCTTTAAATACCTTGTTCTGTAAGAGAAAATGCTGCTGACCGAAATTAGCCAGAATAAACCTATCTTTGACTGTTAAGCCACTTTTCATGTTTTCTTCTTCTTTCTTCAACTCTTACACAAACATCATCTCCAGGTGCTCGCCTGTCCCTGAGGCTCCTTCCTGCCAGGGACTCCAGGCTCCATCCTCTGTGGCTGTTTCTGTGTTCACCGTCTTTGGGTTTTATCTCCAACCCTCGGGCCATGCAGCCTGGATCCCTGCATGCTCTTCCTCAGCTGTGCAGGAACTGGGGGAAGCTCAACGCGGCACCTGCTTGCAGTTGGGACAACTGTGAGAGGTGCTGGCTGTGGCCAGGGAAGGACTGTGTGTACCAGTGGGTGTGTTTAAAGGGGGAGGAGGATGACTTTAGTTTCAGGTAGTCTCTTGGTCTGGAGGTCAAGTGAGCACTCAGTGTGGAGAGAGGGGTTCAGGGTCCCACAGAATTAGGAGGTGACCGAGTCCGGTGTGTGGTGGTGGTCTAGTGGTTGCTTAGGAGTGGGAGTGTGGCAGCAGAAGCATAGTCCTCTAAAATGTCCATACATTCTATTTTGTTAATTTGTGACAGGGTCTCACTCCGTCACCCAGGCTGGACTGCAGTGGCCCAACCACAGCTCAAGCGATTCTCCCATCTCAGCCTCCCGAGTAGCTGGGACTACAGATGCATTCCACCATGCCTGGCTAATTTTTGTATCTTTTGTAGAGACAGGTTTTCTCCTTTGCCATGTTGCCCAGGCTGGTCTCAAATTCCTGAGCTTAAGTGATCCTCCTGCCTCAGCCTCCCAAAGAGCTGGGATTATAAGCACAAACCACTGTGCGCAGTGAAATGTCCACATATTCTAATCCTTGGAACCTGTGACTATGGATCTTGAGACAGGGAGATTATCCTGGAATTATTAGGACAGGCCCAATCTAATCACATGAGACCTTAAAAGCAGAGAACCCAGCCGGGCACGGTGACTCACACCTGTAATCCCAGCACTTTGAGAGGCTGAGGTGGGCAGATCACCTGAGGTTGGGAGTTCAAGACCACCCTGACCAACATGGAGAAACTCCATCTCTACTGAAAATACAAAATAACCCAGGCATGGTGGCACATGCCTGCAATCCCAGCTACTGGGGAGGCTGAGGCAAGAGAATCCCTTGAACCCAGGAGGTGGAGGTTGTAGTGGGCTGAGATCGCACCATTGAACTTTTGTTGCCTGGGCAACAAGAGTAAAACTCTGTCTCAAAAAAACAACAACAAAAAGCAAAGAACCCTTCCTGGCTGCGTTAGAGAGAGATGATAGAGGTGGAGAGACAGATGTGATTCTAGGACTCAGCCCACCATTGCCGGCTTTGCAGGTGGAGTAAAGGGGCATGAGCCAAAGGATGTCACAGTCCCTAGAAGCAGGGAACAGCCCTTAGTTGACTGTCGGCAAAGAAACAGGACCTCAGTCCTAAAACCGCGAGGAACTGAATTCTGCCAACAACCTTAGTGAGCCCCTAGGGTCCCCTAGAGCTTCCAGTAGGGACACAGCTTGTGACCTGGATGGGGGTGATCAGAGAGTGCTCCCCATAGGAAGCATCACTCATGAATGAAGTCCCGAGGATGAACGGGGGTGCACTGGAATCAGGGACTGAGGCGGGCAGGGGAACAGCACTCACAGGCTGCCGCAGGGAGTGGGATGCCTGTGGGTTGACAGTGGCAAAAAGAGGCTGGTGGGAGAGAGCACCCTCGGCTTCACAGGCAGGCGAGGAGGGCAGGGCCTCTTGGGTCCTGTTAAGACTTTGGCTTTTTTTAAAAAATACGGACCATTTCATGAATTTTCGTATCATCCTTATGTAGGGGCCATGCTAATTTCTGTAGTGTTCCAGTATATTGTTTTAGTACATGTGTTATCGAAGCAAACACAAGACTTTGGGCTTTATTCACAGCTGGGTTGGAAGCCACCTGAGAGTCTTCAACAGGATGGAGGGGAAGACAGCCAATGGTGTTTTAAAAAGATCGGTCTGGTGTCTGCACTGTGAGCTGGGTAGGGGGATGGGGTGGATGAGAAGAGACCCTCAGGTGGCCACTGTCAAGTCCAGATGGTGGGAAGGGGAGGAAGAGATGGTAGATTTGGGGGTAAAACTGCAGGTTACATAGACAGAACTAGTGATAGGTTGGGAGGTTGGGGGCCAGCAAGCATTTCAAAAAGCAGTCAGTCTCGGCCAGGCATGGGGGCTCACACCTGTCATCCCAGCACTTTGGGAGGCTGAGGTGGGTGGCTCATTTGAGGTCAGGAGTTCGAGACCAGCCTGGCCAACATGGTAAAACGCTCCCTCTCCTAAAAATATAAAAAATAGCCAGGTGTGGTGGCAGGTGCCTGTAATCTCAGCTACTTGGGAGGCTAAGGCAGGAGAATTGCTTGAACCTGGGAGGTGGAAGTTGCAGTGAGCTGAGATTGCACCACTGCACTCCAGCCTGGGTGACGGAGCGAGTATTCCGTCTTAAAAAAAAAAAAAAAAAAAAAAAAAAAAGCAAGCAGGCCGGGCGCAGTGGCTCAAGCCTGTAATCCCAGCACTTTGGGAGGCCGAGGTGGGTGGATCACGAGGTCAAGAGATCGAGACCATCCTGGTCAACATGGTGAAACCCCGTCTCTACTAAAAATACAAAAAATTAGCTGGGCATGGTGGCGCGTGCCTGTAATCCCAGCTACTCAGGAGGCTGAGGCAGGAGAATCGTCTGAACCCAGGAGGCGGAGGTTGCGGTGAGCCGAGATCACGCCATTGCACTCCAGCCTGGGTAACAAGAGCAAAACTCCACCTCAAAAAAAAAAAGAAAAAAAAAAAAAAGCAGTCACTCTCAAGGAGAGTGGGAGCAGGGGGGTCTCAGAGCCGTGGACTACAGCACCCCCCACCCCAAGCAGCAGAAGCTGACAGATCAGAGCATGTGCCAAATCCTGGCTGTAACACTGCCCAGCTGTGTGACTTCGGGCAGATTTCTCAATGTCCTTGTGTCTCAGTCTCCCCATCTGTAAAATGGGTTGGCAGTTGTTGGCTATTAGAATTACTTTTGCTACGGAAAGCTGTTCCAGCATTTGCACTTTTTTCTGCTCAGCTTCTGTTAGGCCAGCGCATCTCAAAGTCCCTGGGGCTCTTGTTAAAATGCAGATTCCAGTTAGGCAGGTCTTGGGTTCTGCATTTTGAGAAAGTTCCCAGGTGGTGCCCATACAGCTAGCCCAGGGCCTCACCTTGAGTAATAAGGTGTCAGGGTGTACAGTGGTGGAGATCCCCGGGAGACAGGGAGGGGAGAGGTGCTTACCTCGCTGGCTCTGCCCAGCTCTGGTCCCTTTGGGGATTTTGCATTCGATCAGACTCCCCAAGCCCCCCACAACTTCTAGACTCATCTCCCGCAGGTTTGGTCTGGCTGAGACCAGGTGGGGCTTTTTGAAAGTGAACTTAATAGGGTTTGTAGGGAAAACCAAACCAACCTGAAAATAGACAGGCCTAGAAATGGTAAGGTTTTAGGTCGCTCTGCCTTCATCTTGATGCTGCTAAGGTGGGGCCTAGGGCCCCCAGCTGCACAGCTCATTACCTTGTGGACACCTCGTTTTGCCTTGAACCTGCGGGGAACTCCACCCAAAAGCCCCCCTCTCAGTCGTTGGGCTTCCCCCTCCCACTCTTCACTTCCTGACCCCTCCTTCCTTCCCAGCCAGGGGCCAGAGCACATCCCAGCTCCCTCTCCCTCTTCCCCAGGGCAGCAGGAGCTGATGAGCCAGGCAGGGTGGCCCTGGAAATTCACCGGGCCAGACTTCTCTGGGCGGCTGCAGGTACCTGGGCCGCTGCCTCCTTCTCCACCAGGAGCTGGGACTGTGAAGAGCCTGTGTGAGGGGAAGGGGGCGACCCTTCCTCGCTCAGCCCCACATGGAAAATGGGGTCCCAAATCCCCTGCTCTTCCATTTTTCATGGGGCTCAGAGAGGCACAGGCTGGACATCCCAGCTGAGATCCCATGGCCCTCAGCACAGTGAGAAGACTGCCCTCTCATGGTAAGCTATAGATTTACAGAGAATTATTGTTGAAAAGAAGCTGCCACCTCCCAGCATTTGGTGTCCTTGAGACGCTATTTACATATGTGGCTTTGTATGTCTGCATTCTCATTCTCTTTATGTATACACATATGATTATCACTACTTTTTATTTTTTAATTTTCTATTTTTTTTGAGGTTTTCACTCTGTTGCTTAGGCTGGAGTGCAATGGCATGATCTCAACTCGCAATCTCTGCTTCCTGGGTTCAAGGGATTCTCCTGCCTCAGCCTCCTGAGTAGCCGGGATTACAGTAGCCGTGATGCACCATCACACCTGGCTAATTTTTGTATTTTCGGTAGAGATGGGGTTTTGCTATGTTGGCCAGGCTGGTCTCGAACTCCTGACCTCAGGTGATACGCTGGCCTGAGCCTCCCAAAGTGCCGGGATTACAGGTCTGAGCCACCGGCACCCAACTAAGATGATCCCAATTTTGCTGGCAACATCCAGAGTATCGAAATCAGGAGCCAGTGGAACATACGCCTTCTTCTCTCCATCAGGCTGAGCCAGGGTGCTGGCCTTGGCCACGAGCATGTCCTAGAGCTTCTTCACGCCTGTTGGATCTCGTGCTTGTTGGCTTTAACATCCACAGTGAACACAAGTGTGTTGTCTTCTATCTTCTTTGTGGCAGACTCGGTGGTCAGCGGGGACTTGATGATAGCAGAGTGGTCAAGCTTTCTTCTCCCGGGGGCACTATTTTGAGGATATTCAGGCATTTAAAATTTCTTTTTTTTGAGACAGAGCTTCACCCCTGTTGCCCAGGTTGGAGTGTAACGGCACGATCTCGGCTCACTGCAGCCTCTGCCTCTTGAGTTCAAGCGATTCTTGTGCCTCAGCCTCCCGAGTAGCTGGGATTCCAGGCTCCCGCCACAACACCCGGCTATTTTTTTTTTTTTTTTTTTTTGTATTTTTAATAGAGGCAGGGTTTCACCATGTTGGCCAGGCTGGTCTTGAATTCCTGGTCTCAAGTAATCCGCTTGCCTCGGCCTCCCAAAGTGCTGGGATTACAGGCATGAGCGACTGTGCCCGGCCCTGGGCTTTTTTATTTTAAAGATGGGTAGCCCGTGGCCCAGAGGTGGGGGAGAGGTGGGGACATAAAACTCAAATCTCCTCTCTGCAGTTAGTTGCTGTGTGACCTTGGGCAGGTGGCTACACCTCTCTGGGCTGCAGTTTCCTCATCTGTAACGTGGGGTAGTGATCTGGCCCCAAAGAGCTGGGGGTGTATAAAGGAGGGGTTGTGTGAAAGCAGGTACCCAAGGCTAGACTTGGGGGAGTAATGGGCAATGTCATGGGCTCCCCATTCTCTGCACTCCCTCCTCCCCCATTGAGCCAGGTGTGGTGGCAGGAGGGAAACAAAGCGAGAGTGCCCCCAACTGTGCCCCAGCAGAGTGAGCAGGGCCTGGAGCCATGGTCCCTGTGGACTCTGTAGCTGTCAGTCAGATGCGCAGGCAAGTCAGGAGGAGAGACCCAGGACAAGGACCCAGAATGTTCCCACACTCAGCAGGCCTAGCACGTGAGCCCTCACACCTCCAGCCAGCCCCAGGCGCAGGCTGCTGATGCTGTGGATTAGGAGCACGTCAGGGGTCCTGGTAGTTTCTTGTCATCTGGAGAGGCTCCCAGGAGCCCCCTGGGTGACTTGAGAGAGGACACCTTCCTGTCTACTGGGAAGGGAGGTGGGTGTCCCCAAGGCCCTGGGCTCTGGATTAAATGAGAAGGGAGACAATCCAAGCACCATGTGACAGTTGGGCAAATATCAAGTTCATTTATTATTTCAAATTAATATGGCGACATGTTTCAGACAAACAACAACAACAAAAAAGAATGATATAACCGAAGACCCCATTTATCCACCTTCCAGCCATGCTGCTGCTCGCTGCTGCTTCCTGAACATGCTGGAGCTTCACTGTTCCCTTGAGTAGAGACAAGAGTCAGGCAGCACCTTAGGCTGGCCAGGCCTCTCTCCTGGGGGCAAGTGGCTTCTGCTTCCCTTCCCCGAATCAAGAAAGCTCCACATTGCACCAGGGGCCACATCCTTTCTGCCAGGCACCATCATGGATGCTGAAGACATGGAAATGTGACAAGGCTCCCTACCTGACTCCTGCCTCACTTCCTGCCTCCGTTCTCCCCTTCCTCCATCATAGAAGTTTCACATCCTGGATCACCCTAGAATAGTGCTCCCCATCATTCCATGTGGAAAGACAAAACTCCTTCCCTGGGATCTCAACAGAGAATTTCCTCTCTTGAACCCTTTCTTACAATGGGGCTTCACTTTCAAAGAACCCTTGAAGCACGTGGGGGGGGCTTGTTAAAAACATCTTCCTGAGGCCGGGCGAGGTGGCTCACATCTGTAATCCCAGCACTGTGGGAGGCTGAGGCAGGAGGATTCATTGAACTCAAGAGTTTGAGACCAATCTGGGCAACATAGCAAGACTCAGTCTCTACAAAACAATAAAACATTAGCTGGCTGTGGGGATGCACACCTGTGGCCCCAGCTACTTGGGAGGCTGAAGAGAGAGGACTATTTCAGCCTGGGGAGGTCGAGGCTGCAGTGAGCCATGATTGTACCATTGCACTCCAGTGTGGGCAACAGAGTGAGACCCTGTCTTAAAAAAACACCCCACAAAACAAAAACCACACCTTCCTGAAAGAGTGAGTTTCTCCAACCCCTACTTTACTCACAAGAATGAAACTTGAATATGAAAGATTAAGCAATCTTATTTAGAAGTTAATATAGTAGAATATATAAGTGACATTGGTTGGGAAAATATTTCTTTTTTTAAGACGGATTCTCACTCTGTCGCCAGGCTGGAATGCAGTGGCATCATCTCAGCTCACTACAACCTCC